ATATCCAAAGAGTCAGCCTAGAATTCTGTCCTACTGTAAAATGTCATACCAATTACAGAGAATGTAGGATCAAAAACTACGAGTAAAATTTTTGGAATAACATTTATTTGACAGAGAATGATTATTAGAAAACAGTATACACATGTAAAATAAGTTGTTTAAAACATTTGTACAATGACTGTCCAAGACATTCCTTGTCAAATGCAAATGACTTTATTCTGAAATTTTATAGATAGGCAACGCTTATCCTCATATTGGTCAATGGTTCCAAATTAATAAGTATTGCAGTAGGGAACAGACACTGTTCTGTTTATTCAATGGAACTGAAGTCTTTTATACACATTCTTATGTAGGTATTATTATTATTATTATACAGTATTTATAAAGCGCCAATGGTTCGCTCAGCGCTGTACATTCACATTCATATTACAATTGCACTTGTATGGTAACAAGGGGCATTAGATAAACAGGCTAATTTCTTATCAGGACCCGAAAGAATGCAAATACATAATCAAAACATTATTAGTGCCATGGTGCACAGTGAGGGCAGTGTGCAATACAAAAGCAAAGCATACAAACTGGAAAGCAGTTCTCTACAGAAGAATACAAATGTTCTAAAATGAGAGTTTGCCAAATCACTAAATATAACCAATATGTATCCCTGGCAATGCAAGTGCAGCTAATGCACACTCCAGCGTCTGACACCATTAAAAATGTGTCTGTAAAGTGTAGGTCTAACCCAAACTTATTTTTCCTTAGTTTTGGTTAGTTTAGTTTGGTCTTTTATGCCTTGAGGAGGGTGGAGAATCATCATGTACACGGAGGGTGGAAAACCTGCATATACACATATTAACACCATTGGGACATTGATTTACTAAAACTGGAGAGTGCAAAATCTGGTGCAGTTGTGCAAAGCAGCTTATCAGCTTCTAACTGCAGTTTTTACAATTAAGCGTTGACAAAAAAAACTGGAAGCTGATTGGTTTCTGTGCAGAGCTGCACCAGATTTTGCACTCAACAGTTTTAGTAAATCAACCCCTGATATAAATGATTTAGTGTAACTCAGGGTGTGGTTGCCACCATCCCTATTTGTACAACACTAAATAATTTTTTCACTCATAGTGGGACTTCGAAGGTAACCTTCTAACACACAAGACGTATTTCTTTAAAAAGCAACGTTTATTTATACAAAAGGTTTTTATAACAAGGAATTATACCAGTGTCCAAAAAACATATAGTGTTCCAAAGCACACTGGGGGGCTATTAAGATTGCTTATTGAGTTTTAACAATGCAATATAATACAACAAAAGTCCAGTGGTATCCCCTATAGCTGATTTCTGTCATACAATCATCTCAATTTGATTGTAGATTTATTCAGCCAGGGATCCAACACGTACACGTTTCAAATGTTTATTAGAACATTTATCTTCTTCAGGAAAAATATACCACTATGGAACATAAACAATAATTTGCAATCAAATTTACAGAATTTTTCATATTGTTTACACGGGAACAAATTAAATTTTAAATACAAAACTTACATAGCCATGGTAAATATTCTACAGTGTCTCAGCATGCAGGGAGAAATATCACCCCTTGGTTGGAGTATCCATTATGGTATGCAAGGACCACAAGCACATCACCACACCACTGCCATAATAATAATAATAATTAAAAAAAATATAAAAACACCAACTATGTTAGATTCTATTGGGGACTTCGAGGGCTATGAATCATACTAATATTAGAGCTGGAAATATATATATATATCAAATGGGGCTGAAAAACAATGAATGCTGCTAGGGATAAACAGCATAATATATTTATATTACTCTAATATCCAATACAGATACTTATCCTATATCAAAAAATTTGTTTAAGGAAAGCATTATTGTAAAGATTTGCAGCACCCAAGCAGATCTAAACATATAAATATCTTACTTAATATATGCTCCAATTTTCATTCCCCTTTCAATGATTCAATATTACAGAAAGAGGGGTAGACCGCATCAACATTGTCAGCCTCTTTTGAACAATAAGGTATATTGCAATATACCCCAATATTCAACCTGGATACACCGGTTTTCACTAAGATCTAGCAAGATATGAAAGGAATTGCAATATACAAATGACCTCCATTAGAACATCTTTTGAATACAAGCTCCCACCATTATATCAACTCCCATAGTTTCTTGCTTACCAAATATTGTATCAATATAAATGACTTGAACTCCTCCAAAAAATTATTGGCAGTATCAATTTTGGAATGTAACTTGGTTTGAGATCCTTAGCAAATCTGGCTGAACACTTGCTTTAAATATGGCAGATAATTTGCGTGGTGTCTTGTATCTCCTCCCCTTCCCCTCACTGAGACATGGTCTTCTCCGGAGAGGAGAAGATGGTGCCCATTGTGTGGTCCCCGGCGTTCACATGTCCATTTACACCCGCCGCTCTCCATAGAGGAGAATGGAGGTTCCGATTGGGCCCGCCTGCAAATTGGGCGAACCCGGTCGGAACATCCATGTGAAAGAGGCCTAAATCTAAAGGAGTCTTTTAAAAGCAACACATCTCTTCCAAGGCAGGTGAACGTAACATGTATTAATTCATATGTTCATTAAGGCTCCATGCACACTAGCATTTTTTTTAAGCTCAAAAAATGCTGCATAGAAAAAAACAATGATAATAGCTTTTTTTTAGTAGCATTTACTAGCGTTAGTGTTTTATTAGCATTTTTACATGTAAAGGCAAAAAAATCTAGAAAAAGGCTGCTAGGAGTGTTTTAGCAGTGGTTAGTGTTTTGTTACTGCTGGAAAAAACACTCCAAAAAACTCTGCAAAAAGATTTTTTTTTCCTGCTCCTAGATGCTCAAAAAATGCTAACAGTCTAAACTTGTGTGTATGTACACATAGGATAACACTATTTAGCTTCTAGGAGCAGACAAAAAATGCTAATAACGTTTAGGAGCTTAAAGGATAAGTTCAACTTTTGGGCAAAAATAATAAATGCACATTATTTTGCAGGTAAAAATATGTGCATTTATTATTTTTGTCCAAATGAGCCTGGAAAGCATTGCACCCACGATCAGTAGATCACTGATGCCATGCAGGTCTCCTGCAGACCTGTCAGAATATCTGCTTGCCGTACGGGATGTTCATTTAAGCCAGTGTTTCTCAACTCCAGTCCTCATGGACCCCCAACAGGTCATGTTTTCAGGATTTCCATTATTTTGCACAGGTGATTTGATCAGTTTTCACTGCCTTAGTAATTACCACAGCTGTTTCATCTGAGGGAAAATCCTGAAAACATGACCTGTTGGGGGTCCATGAGGACTGGAGTTGAGAAACACTGATTTAAGCAGATATACTGACAGGAAGCTTCAATGAACTACCATGGTGCTCCACAGCTCTGTGGTAGTTCATTGAAAACTACAAGCCGACAGCCGCTAAGGCTGCTAGTACTTGTAGGCACTTATTCAAAGAACTTTGTGAATGAGTGATGCAGCCCTGTGGGCGGAGCCCCGCATGGCTGCACTGTTTTCAAATCTGACAGATAGTACAGGGGAACCTCTCCCCGTACTATCTGTCAGAGGGAAGGGGGGCATCAGGCGGCGGCTGTGGCTATGGGAACATGTTGCACATTACACCCTAAAAACGGGTGGAACATGGAACATGTTCCAAAGGTGAACTTATCCTTTAAAAAATGTTGGTGTGCATGGGGCCTAAAGCAGAACTAAATTCTCTCAATCAACAGAAACTCATTTTAACCCTTTTTTGTATTAATAAAAATGAATACATTTGTATATTTCCCCTTGAGTGTTTTTTTTTTTTTGGCGGTATGTGTTAACACTTAAAGCGGAACTTCACTCTCTCAATTAACATTGACTATTTTTAACTCTCATGCTGCTAGCATTAGTGACAAGATAGTCTAATATATTTACTTGTTTTAAACCCTTTTTTACAGTTCTTGAGTGTCTTCCTGGTTTCTGGCCTAGGCTAAAATGATGTCAAACATCCCAAGAGTCTTCATGGGCATTTTTTGTTTTCATCTGGAGGAGTGGGAGGGTAGGAGGTCTTTTCTCAGGTGAGCTCACCCTCCTGCCTGCATGCCTGAGCTAAGGGTAGAGAGATTCCATGAAGTAAATGCTACATGAATCTTCTGCCCTTACTCAAGGTGGCTGTGGCTAGAAATGCTATGGGGTGTTTTTCAAATTGGTTTGTCAACAAAATAAAGCATGGAGGCATGGAGGGATGGGGGAGTTTGCTTCAAGTAATACAATTAATTAAAGTGGTTCTAAAAACAGAAGGTTTTTTTTTCTCCTTAATGCATTCTCTACATTAAGGTAAAAAAACCTTCTGTATGCACCCCTCCCCCTTTATACTTATCTGAGTCCAATCTCGATCCAGCAATGTGCACAAGAGCAGTGGCACTTTCAGCTCTCTCTCTGCTCACAGGACGGAGAGGCAGCAGTGGGAGCCATTGGCAGAGAACTGGGGGCAGAGCCAAGCTGCGCTTTGTGTGTCAATGGACACAAAGAGTGGAGCTGGGGAACAATCCATGCACAAGTTCCCCATAGCAAGCTACTTTGCTATGGGGGCACTTGGGGGGGGGGGGAAGCCAGGAGCATCAGTAGTGGACCCCAGAAGAGGAGGATTCAGGCTGCTCTGTGCAAAGCCATTTCACAGAGCAGGTAAGTATAACATGTTTGTTATTTTGAAAAAAAAATAGGTTTACAATCATTTTAAATAGTGTGTTCAATGTGTGGTGCTCAGATACAGTTAAGTATGTATGTTTTCATTCATATTTTTAGGTGTGAACAAGTCATGACTTAATTGTTCTGTATTCTGCAACGTTCCAAAATTCATGGTTGGGTGTATGTCATAGCAAACGTTATCTAAACTCATACACAGTATACATTTAGGAAATCTTTGCCAATCTCACACCTTTTTGAGTTCTAAAATTTCTAAAATTGTTGCAACTTTTACTTCACAATGTATATACAATGGAGGTTTTTCACTTTAAATTTGCCTCTGTCTTCCCCCAGGAATGTCCCAGTGGGATTGTTAATGAAGACACCTTTAAAGAAATCTACGCGCAATTCTTCCCACAGGGAGGTAAGTTTCCCACGTGCACTAACATGGTGCTGGCAGCTCGTCAGTTAATAGTCATCCTCTGTTCTTCCAGCGTACAAAAGAGGCTGTTAGTCAGTTCCGTAGCTAAGAGCACATCGGAGACAGCAGCCTGTCTGCTACGGTGTCATCCATACTAGAGATATGTAAATAAATGAACACAACAGATGTTCAGCGTTAACAATATTAGCAGCGTTCATCGCAAATATTCTATAATGTGCTTTCTGCGTTCTCGGGTTTTCTTAAGGGAAAATGTAATAATTTTCATACATAAACTATCATCGGGTTTACAATAAATGTTATTACATTTTATGAGGCCAGTAAATAAAACTGAAAATGTGTTGCCAGCATATAACCTAAAGCATAACTCATCGACAAATTCAAGTTTCAGGCGATTGTATATGTACAAGCAACAAAAGACAGTTACAGCACAGAGAGCATAAATCTTCACTCCTATTAAAGAATAATGCAGGAACTTCAGAGGAACTTCAGACATACCAGCCCTTTTAATCACTAACCTGTACTATGCAGTAGAAATGGGGATATATGAGGGTCCTACTGAAAGTAATGTAAAGTATTGCAAAAATCTGCATAACCTTTTTATTAACTTACATCATTCAAATTTCACATGTTGTTAGAGTAACTCTTCCTCTATACAAAGCTGCTACTCAACAATCTCCATCACAAACAATGCATTTGTGCCATTTTTTAACCCAACTCTATAAGCTTCTTTGAAAAAATTCTATGAAAAAAATGATGTAAGTTAATAAAATGTCAGGTTTGCATTACTTTCGGGATATATATATATATCTACAACAGCCCAGTGATGCATGTCAAGTGTTTGGGCATATTATGGCCTTGCTTTTTTGTGGAATGGCGCAGTAAAGACTTCATTCTGGCAACTCGACCATGCAGCTCATTTTTGTTATCGTTGTATTGGGCTCCTGAAACAACCACATTGACTTTTTACAGAATAGCCTGAGGTTACCTGTGGGTTTTTCTTTGTATCCTGAACAATTCTTCTGGCAGTTGTGGCTGCAATCTTTCTTGGTTTACCTGACACCTCTTAATAAGTGAATGAACAATACTGACTGGCATATTCAAGACTTTGGATATCTTTATAAAATTCCATTACCTTGTTATGCAGGTCTTTTGACAGTTCTTTTCTACTCCCCATGGCTCTGTATCTAGGCTGCTCAGTGCATCCACGTGAAAGCTAATAAACTCACGGACTATTTATACACAGATACTAATTGCAATTTAAAAAGCCACAGATGTGGGAAATTAACCTTTAATTGCCATTTTAGCCTGAGTGTGCCACCTTGAGTGTTTGTACCAAGGCCAAACATTCCATTTTTTTAAACTTTTGATCAGGGCCATTTGGGTGATTTCTTTCCTCATTATGATTTAAAAAGGATCCAACAACTATGTGATAATAAATGGCTTCATATGATCACCATCCTTAAATAAAAGACAGTTTTGTTGGCATTATGAGTCCTATTTTCAATATCAATGCCAAAATGTCACGATTTCTGCCAGGGAATGCAAACTTTTGAGCACAACTGTGTGTGTGTGTGTGTGTGTGTGTGTGTGTGTGTGTATATGTGTATATATATATATATATATATATATATATATATATATACAGGGCATTTAAATCAAACTGGGACTTTTGAGTACGTATAATAAAAGAACAAATTTCAAGGAGTAGACATTGCATTTATTTTTCGACATTTAAACACTTATCCCAGCGTTTAACTAATGCCTGTTAAGCTTCAGCATTGAAAGTTTTGTCACAACACCTGAATCATCCTAGGACAGCCTCCTTCACTTCGTCATCATTGTGTTCACCGTTCTCACAGACAGATTTGTCTCTTCACTCTTCCTGCAATTTCACGATAGGTTATGTGTCGCTTATCCAGGATTAGGCGTCCCATGCGCTGAATATTCACAGGAATGACTGCTGTGAGTTGGGAACCACCATGGCTAGGATTGTCACTGATGGATGTACAGCCATCTTTGAAACGTTTACACCATTCAAATGTCTTATTGCGGCTGAGCATCTCATCTCTGAACTGTGTTTGAAGTCTTCTATAGATATCTGCCTTCATTCATAAGAAACTTCATCACCACACGCTGTTCCATGCACTCACTAACACTGTTGTCTGCCATCTTGATTAACAGTTTGGCCCGTGACATATGCACCGCCTATCAGTAATAGGAAACACTTGCCACTTACTACTGCGTGTAGTACAGCCACGCTAGCATCCCTTTTTATACCTGTAAAATTAAAAGTCCCGGTTTGACTTGAATGCCCCTCGTATATACTGTGTATGTATTTATGCACAAATATATTAAATATATCAGAAAATGTGAGCTTCTATATATATGTACAGTTGTGTTCAAAATAATAGCAGTCAGACATCACTATCCTGATCAATCACTGTTTTTGGTAGAAATTATATTTCTACATGGCAAATAATTTACTAGCAGGTATAGTAGAGTAATAGAAATCCAACAGACCCAACAGTCATGACATGCATGCTGCTGATTCTGTGTAATTGAATCACTAAGTGAAAGGGGCATGTTCAAAATAATAGCAGTGTGGAGTTCTATTAGTGAGGTCATTCATTCTTTGAAAAACAGGTGGCAATTATTGCCCTTATTTAAGGAAGGAAGGCAGCAAATGTTGTACATGCAGGTTAAAGTGCATTTCTCTCTGAAATTCTGAGGAAAATGGGTCGTTCCAGACATTGTTCAGAAGAACAGCGTACCTTGATTAAAAGGTTGATTGGATAGGGGAAAACATATAAAGAAGTGCAGGAAATGATAGGCTGCTCAGCTAAAATGATCGCAAATGCTTTAAAATGGCAACCAAAATCTGAAAGACGTGGAAGAAAGCGAAAAACTACCATTCGAATGGATAGAAGAATAGCCAAAATGGCAAGGACTCAGCCAACAATCAGCTCCAGGAAGATCAAAGAAGGTGTAAAGTTACCTGTGAGTACTGTTACAATTAGAAGACGCCTATGTGAAGCCAAGCTATCGGCAAGAAGCCCCCGCAAAGTCCCACTGTTGAAAAAAAGACATGTGCTGAAGAGGTTACAATTTGCCAAAGAGGACATTGACTGGCCTAAAGAGAAATGGCGCAACATTTTGTGGACTGATGAAAGTAAGATTGTTCTTTTTGGGTCTAGTGGCCAGAGACAGTTTGTCAGACGACCCCCAAACACTGAATTCAAGCCACAGTACACTGTGAAGACAGTGAAGCATGGTTGCGCAAGCATCATGATATGGGGATGTTTCTCATACTACGGTGTTGGACCTGTTTATCGCATACCAGGGATCATGGATCAGTTTGAATACATCAGAATACTTGAAGAGGTCATGCTGCCTTATGCTGAAGAGGAAATGCCCTTGAAATGGGTGTTCCAATAAGACAACGACCCCAAACACACCAGTAAACGTGCAACAGCTTGGTTCCAGACCAACAAGATTGACGTTATGGAGTGGCCAGCCCAACCCCCCGGATCTTAATCCAATAGAAAACTTGTGAGGTGACATCAAAAATGCAGTTTCTGAGGCAAAACCAAGAAATAGAGAAGAACTGTGGAATGTAGTCCAATCATCCTGGGCTGGAATACCTGTTCACAGGTGCCAGAAGTTGGGTGACTCCATGCAACACAGATGTACAGCAGTTCTCAGAAACAGTGCTTATACAACTAAATATTAAGTGATTCAAAGGAAAGCAAAATCTTCAAACATTTTTCAGTTTATATAGTGAATGTTTGAGTTTGTAAAGAAGAATACAAACACTGCTATTTTTTTGAACCGTCTAATATTCACTTTTCTTCAATTTGTTTAGAGGAACAACACAAATTTGATATATTTTTCTTCATGTTTTGATTTGGAATAGAATGTGTAGTGTTCCCAATGCATTTGTGTGTATAGAAATAAAAGCTATTAGAAGGATTTTGAGCTTTATTCACTTTTTTCAACACACTGCTATTATTTTGAACACAACTGTATATACACACACACTATGTTGCCAAAGGTATTGGGATACCCCTCCAAATCATTGGATTCAGGTGTTCCAATAACCTCCATGGCCACAGGTGTGTAAAATCAAGCATCTAGGCATGCAGACTGCTTCTACAAACATTAGTGGTATTATAACAAAGTGGAAGCAACTGGGAACAACAGCAATTCAGCCACAAAGTGGTAGGCCACGTAAAATGACAGAGCGGGGTCAGCGCATTCTGAAGTACACAGTGCACAGAAGTCACCAACGACCAGAGTCAATAGCTAAAGACCTCCAAACTTCGTGTGGCCTTCAGATTAGCACAACGGTGCGTAGAGAGCTTCATGGAATGGGTTTCCATGGCTGAGCAGCTGCAACCAAGCCTTACATCACCAAGTGCAATGCAAAACGTTGGATGCAATGGTGTAAAGCACGCTGCCACCAGACTCTAGAGCAGTGGAGACATGTTCTCTGGAGTGACGCTTCTCTGTCTGGCAATCCGATGGACGTGTCTGGGTTTGGTGGTTGGCAGGAGAACGGTACTTGCCTGACTGCATTGTGCCAAGTGTATAGCTTAGTAAAGGGGTGATTATGGTGTGGGGTTGTTTTTCAGGGGTTGGGCTTGGTCCCTTAGTTCCAGTAATGATAACTCTTAAGGCGTCATTATACCAAGACATTTTGGACAATTTCATGCTCCCACTTTTGTGGGAACAGTTTGGCAATGGCCCCTTCCTGTTCCAACATGACTGTGCACTAGTTCACAGAGCAAGGTCCATAAAGACATGGATGAGTGAATTTGGGGTGGAGGAGCTTGACTGGCCTGCACAGAGTCCTGACCTCAACCCAGTAGAACACCTTTGGGATGAAATAGAGCAAAGACTGTGAGCCAGGCCTTCTCATCCGAAATCAATGCCTGAGCTCACAAATGCGCTTCTAGAAGAATGGTGAAACCTTCCCATAGACA